CTACCATGAGACACACACCCCAATCAATTTCACAAGACATTTTACTCTTGGAAATCAAAGAAGCAAAGATCAAGTCGAGATTAATCATTTAAGAAGGTTTTTGTTGTTGCATGGGAGTAGAGTACTTGGTTGACAACTTGTGACAACTTGCAATATGTTTTTTTTTTTTTTTTTGTTTTGTAGATAGGATATTAAAGCTATTAGACACTAATTGACAACTTGTAGGTCTTCATTCTATTTTGTTGGGGTCTGTATTTGGTAGGAGTGTGCTAGGATTTTATGATTTTGGATTGTTGGAATGTCATGCAGCTTTGCTAGGATTTTTCGGTCAGTAATATGAGGTTTGAGGAACTCCCCCCCCCCCATTAGTTCGGTTGAAATGCTTAATCAAAATAATATTTGACCGAATTACTCATCAAAGATGATATAAAACGGACAATTTTGTGTTTCGGTCAGTTAAAATTTCTGAAATGAGGCTTATTTTGGTCAAGATTTTTGCTTGACCAAAATAGTATGTCCGAAAAAGAGGTATCTTTTAGTAGTGATAAGTGGTCAAGTTCTTTCTTTCTTTTGACTGATTTTGTGCAAGTGCAGTTTTGGTGTAAATGCAGCTTTACTATTTGGCCTTACACTAACAGTTAATGATAAAAAAATTTCCTTATTTCTGTGTCTCTTATATGCTTTACATTAATAGTATATTGTGCCTATTTTGGGTTTATCATTATTCAGAACATGAGATAATATAAACAAAAATTACGTGAATTCTAGAATTGTTATTTACTATTCATTCTATATATTAAAAAATACAATACATGAGAGAATTCAATCAAGTCTAGAGGCAATAATTAATAATGTTCAAAGGCATACCAAAAAATAGTTATTGTGCATAGATATTGCCCATAGAACACAAGTCTCCCCAGTTTCATAGCTTCTTAATCTCTAATACTTTTCAAATCCCTCTTCTTATTATCACCCTTAACCCAAGTACTAAACAGGAAAAAGGCCAATACAAAAGCAAGAAAAACAATCAAAACCAAACAAAATTTCCCACACTTCTTTCATTTCTCTAGCTTCATAGCATACACCATTGTTAGTATCACCATCATGTGCAAGTCATTCACTTTCTTCTATAATGTCTCAATATGTTTCTCTCTATTTTCTTCATGATGCCTCACAACATTCCTAAGAGCTTTGATCATTTCTCTTGCATCATCCAAATCGTCTTCCAATTCTCTCTTACTATTGTATAGCCATAAGATAAACTCCTTAGCCTCGAAAAAGAAATCCTGATCATACCATAAAAAATACTTACACTATCATTTTTCTTCTACAAATATGAAAATCAAATCCATGAACATGGAATCAAAACCATCACTCCATATCAAATAAAACCCTAAAACCTTCAAAATTAGGAAAACAAAAAACCTTCAAAATTGCTTAGCAAAGAAAAGCCCTAAACAACACACAACACACAAGTTAAAAATAGAATTTTAGCGGAAGAAATTACAATAGGATCATTTATTGGGCATCTAGAAACCTCCGATCAGGATTCTTCTCGCTCCAAGACATCATCCTTGGCACCTTCAAACAACAAAAGCAAATTTGACTCTATCCTTCATAATCATAATCATATCTTCCAAATTCCATCGATGTTGAAGCTTCAAAGTTGCTCAAAGAAGCCATGGAGCAAGGAAGAAGAGAAATAGGTTTGAAAGCGATAGATCAGAGAAGAAAGATTTCTTCTTTTAACCCTAACACTCGTTAAATAGATTTTGTATCTCATCTAACTTTCCTTCTTTTTTTTTTTTTCAACTCATAAGTTAGAGAGTGGAGCTCATAATTAAATTATTTGGCGGTATAGTTCCCATTAATGAGCAATCTAAGCTCGACTGCCAATGTGTAAAAAGAAGCTCATGTGTCGTTGACATGTACATGTATGATGAAAATTAATGTGTCTCGTTATCATAAACTTGAACAATAAGAGGGTATAAAATCATTTATTGTAA